ACCCAGAAAGGGACCCGAGTTTTGACGACCACCCTCATAGAACATTTCATGCGCAGCGCAAGCGACGTTTTCGGAACTCCTGGGCACCGGGCTTGCTTTGACAGGCCAAAAACTTTGCAAAAGCCTTCAAAGTCCTGGAAAAACCCTGAAAGCACTAAGCCGTTTCAAAATTACCAAAACCTTCAAAACCCAAAGCTCTGAAACGGCGACAGCCATGAGCCCCGAAACTTTCAAACTGATGTTCGACCACCCGTCACTGACCACCCGTCAATTGAGTCCGTGCGCGCCGCCACCCAGCTTCGTTTGAGGTTCGGTTGGGGCAGCGGCATCTATAATAGGACCCGGAGTAGGCCCTTATTCCCCATTTTTTAGGGTTTAGGTTCCCTTATAACCCCCTCTAATCCAAAAAGGGCACCCTTTTTATTCCTAGGTTACTCTTAGGTCTAGTATAATAGGGACTTGTAAACAAAAAGCCTGCAGAGGATCCATAAGCATACAATAAGCGGCCTAATAATTCGACTAGGGTTTTGGGGCCCATGATATGAATGAGGATCCGCCAAAATAGTAGGTGATTATGCAGACCTCTATATGAGGGGTTCAGGGATCGGCTTGTCTTTTGGAGACTCTGCAGTTTTACTTTTTGCTTTGTTTCCGCTTGGGGCCCGGAGCCGGCCCTATTCTAATCATTAAGGCCCTTATCTACTAGTTGCTTAAGAAGCCCCCAAAAAATACAAATAATAATCCCTATATTACCACCATAAGGAATATTTTTTTTGATTTTTTGGGGGTTCTTAAGCACATAGTAGTTATACTAGACCCCCATGATACCCCTTAAAGGCAGAGCTGAAACAGGCGATCAGCCGGGCTGAACTTATTCGGAAGCTCAAGCCCTCTGTCGGCCTAACTCAGGTTTTAGGCTTTAGGGCTAAGTGGGGTTAGAAGTCCCTGGTATGGGTAGAAGGCATGGTTGCCCTGCGTATAACCCCGTTTATAACTACCCATGAACCTCCAAGTACTGCACCAAGCAAGAAACTCTCAAAGCTCTGCACAACGGTTTTGGGGTGTAGCAGTCTCGAAGATACCCCTAGGTATTCAACGGAATGCTACCGTGACTTCTTCCTGGATGCGGCGCTTGTCCCGTTTATGTCGCGCTCAGTGGACATTCTGGAAGAACTGGCCAGAAAACCCAGAGGGGCTTAGGGCTTAGGGGAAACCCTAAATCCTAAACCCTGAACCATTGCATTTCAAAAAACCCTACACCCTAAACCCTGGACCAGTGCGTTTAAACAAGCCCTACACCCGAAACCCTGAGCCATTACTCATTACACTTTGAGAAAACCCCCGAACCCCAACCCAGAAGCCCAAAGTATTCGGGTTTCAACCGGCCTTGGTAGCATTGTTGGGTACGACTTCTTGAGAACTGCAGCCTTTATTCGGGTTCTGTGAAACTGCCAAAACAACTGATTGGTGACATGTCGGCAAGAACACACAGGTGTCTGCATTCTCTTGTGTTTATGTATTTAGAATGATTTAGATGTGTACCTGCATATGTGATGTTGATGCATATGTCATTTCTGTAACTTTTGGGTACCCCGACGACCGCAAGCCTATAACCTGGCTCGAGTTGGTGCCGGTGTGCAACGCCTCGTATGCTAAACTTACGTACATACAAGCCCGCATACAAACATGCGAGCGTACGTTCATGCATGCATATGTACGCATACACACATACATACACATGCATGCGCGTACATGCATACATACTTACATACTTGCATACTTGCATGCTTCTGTACTTGCACTTGTATACATACTTATATACCTACATACCTACATACCCAATTTCATACCTACATACAAACACACACCTACACATACATACATGAATACATACATACATACATACAGACATGAATACATACATACATACATACAGACATACATACGTACATGCACACATACACACCCAACGTACACGTATGTACATGCACAAATACGTACATACGCACGCACGCACGTACATCAATACATACATGCATACATATTTACTTACACACATACGCTCATACTTACTTACATACATCATAGACACTTAATAGCATAAGTATGTACCTACGTGAGCATATTGTTATGTATGCGCGTAGATGCGCGAACACAAATCCTGTAGGTATCATTCATTCATACATACATACATACATACATACATGTACACTAACTTGAAGTAGCAGGCAGAGCTGGGCCCACATGCTAGACTGACCAACATCCTACTGCATGACGCATGTTGCTCTCAGCATCGTTGCGTGGTAAACCTTGCAATGTGTCAATATCAATGCGCAGGCTCTTGGAGCCTTGTGGAGTGTCCCGGAGAGCCCTGCGAGGGGACAGTTCTGCTTCACATGTCAGCTTTTTTGACCTTCTTGATACAAGGAAAACGCACTAACACCAGTCAGTTCCCACCGGTGCTCGTAAATCCAAAGAAGCAAGTTGTCGGGGCAGGCTACAAAACCAAAAAAATCCAACCCCAACGCCTAGAGCCCAAACCCTCAAGCCTAAATCCCAAAGCCTAGACTAAACCCTAAACCCTAAACCCTAAACCCTAAACCCTAAACCCTAAACCCTAAACCCTAAACCCTAAACCCTAAACCCTAAACCCTAAGCCTTTAAACCGTAAAGCCGAAACCCGAAAGTCCTACAGTAAAGCCTAAGCTTAAAACCCTCAACCCCGAGCGAAGAAAGCTATAGTAGAAGCCAGAAAGTTGGAGCATCATTATCCTCATGCCCTTAAGGTAAAGTATACGGAATCCTAGCGCGAATCATCCTAAATTCATGTTCCAACTTTCTGGGGTTCACTATAAGGCCGGCGAGGCCAATGAGATCGGTTTAACGAGGCGCGGCTACTGCCTCCAGGCACTTGTTTAGGGTTTTAAATGTGCTTCAAGGGATCCTTAAAGGGCTCCTTGAAGGGATCTCTAAAGGGTTTGGGGGTTTAGGGTTTAGGGTTCAGGGTTCAGGGTTCAGGGTCTAGGGTTCAGGGTTCAGGGTTTAGGGTTGAGGGTTTAGGGTTGAGTGCTTAGGGCTTAGGGTTGAGGGTTCATTAGGGTTTCGGGTTTAGAGGTGGGGTTTGTGCTGTGCTGTAAGACAGAACCGTTTCATTATGACATGATAAGTTTGAAATTACACCATACCAAATTGGTATGGTGTAATATGAATTCAGGGGTCGGTTTAGGGTTTAGGGGTTTTGGAGTTTCGACTGTCTTTTTTTTGGAGTGTAGTGGTTCAGAGCATCATGGTTCGTGTGTTTTTTTCGCAATCAGGCTTGTGTGCTAGCGCAGGGCTTCAAGATTGTTGTTCCAGGGTTTGGGGCGTAGTTCTTTCATGTCTCAGCAGGATGGAGCCTAAACCCTAAACCCTAAACCGTGGCTCTTGGAGTTCATCTGAAGTTTCATGGCTAATCTCGGCGGGCACTTCTCCTAGAAACCCTCAACCCCTAATGTAGGAACCTGATCAAGAAACCCTGGGCCTATAGCCCCCAAAATAGCAGGATTCATGTCGTAATAGCCCCCAAAATAGCAGGATTCATGAAAAGAGCCTTCATAGAGGCCCAAGGTGTCTTAATCAGGTTCCTACATTAGGGGACTTAATAATTATATAGGGGCCTTAACTAAGGGCCTTTTAAAGGAGTCTATAGGGGATCTATAGGGGTTCTATAAGGGTACTGCTCCTACATTAAACCCCAGAACCCGGAACCCTAAGCTAAAGAACGTTGTCGTTCTCTCCGAGAAGGCCCTGTAAGACTGCAAAGTACACAAACACTTAGAATACCTGGAGGTTCAGGGGTATACAGTTATGAGTGGGGTTATAAGTCCTGAAAATATGGATTATAAGTATAGTTACCCTACTTATAGCCCTGTTTATAACTACCCATGAACCTCCAAGTAGGGGCTTAATTGATCAACCATACAATTTGGGGTTCCTTGCTGTAACAAGAGCATCACATGCCCAAGACCCTGTTCTCATTATCAAGCTATGTTCGATCTCCAGGACCCCTAATTCGGGTCCAAGAAGTCTTGTGATGGTGAGTTCACCTGAGTTTGGGGTTAAGGGGTTCGGGGGTTTCGGGTTTGGGCTTTAGGGCTTGGCTGTTCCAAAGCGAGGAAGGTGAGCCAACCTAGGGATAAACTTCGTGACATTCATGAGGGCTTAGCATTTGAGGTTCAGAGTACCCTTCGTCCCTACGCCGCTACCTTGAAGCCTTATAGCCTAGACGCCTGCGCTATCTTTGAATCGTGGACCCAGGCTTCTTCACTGCTACGGATGAGGGGTGTAAGGCCTCGGCCTCTGGGAAAGGGGCTTACCCCGCGCTCCCTTTCATTACTGTTGATGATATAAATCCTGCGTTACCTTAGGAAGCCTGAACTATGAGAATTGTGGTATATGCCTTAGTATTGGTCATGCAGGATTTATATCATCAACAGTATGGAATATGAGTTGGATCAGGTTCTGGATGATTACCTCGGTCCTTTCGCCTATTTCCTGGGTAGTCGGGTCTCGAGGTGTAGGGGTTTCCACCAATGTGACAAGAAGCCAACCCCTAAACCCTGAACCCCAAACCCTAAACCCTGAACCCCAAACCCTAAACCCTAAACCCTAAACCCTAAACCCTGAACCCTAAACCCTAAACCCTAAGTGATCAGCAGACGAAGTGGGAACACCAAGGCATACTGGGACGTAACAGCCAAGGCTCAATGCTCTGGCAAGCTGGAGCTGGAGTTTTTGAAGCAAGCAACTTCCTTCAGCCCAAGTTTAGAGCTTAGGGTTTAAGAAGTGAGCATCCAACCAGCCTAGAGAGCATCTGAAGTGGTCCCCAATCCCAAAGCTCCAATTCGTCAAAAGAGTGGAATCCAACGTCTTTGATCCTACGCCTCAGACGCTGTAAGTTTGCGGCTCAATCTGTCTCAAAGCTCGATCTGTTTCCATCCGTGTTTCAGTTGAGGGCGAGAATGGGCTGTACCGCAAGCACCGTCGTTGAAAGCGCCCAGACGGCAGTCTTTCAGGATGAAGATGGAGTTACCACTCCTGAAGTGCACCTGGGCTTCGGAGTACCGTACTTTAATACTTTTAGGGTTTAGGGTTTAGGGTTTAGACTCGTTTAGACCTGTTACTTACAGGGAACCATTATGAAATAAAAGTCTCAGCTTTTTTTCTCCCTGGTTACCCCAAAGCCCAGGCACTTCAAGGAGCGGAGTCACAGCTTTCACTCCATGGACGACCGGACGAATCCCGCCACAGCTGCCCATGCCAGTGCACCAATCAAATTCACTCACAAACACTGGGTGACTCGGTTCTCGTTATTGGGTTGAATTCAAGCTACCAGAATAGGGATCTATAGTAAAGATTAGGGTATCCTTGTTATACCCTCCAGAGCCCTGTTCGCGCGCAACTTGCGATGGGTTCAGCCTTGCAAACTTGCTGGCAGACGCAGTGGATTCAGGCATTTTTGCTTCTACAGGGTGCAGAAGTACTGCTGTATGCAGCATTTCCTGCACATCCGATCACCAGAGCATCCATGCCCAAACCATGATAACGTTCGTGTTCCTAGAGCATCCGATCACCAGAGCATGCATGACGTGCTGCACGACGCTGACGGGCTCTTTGCCTGAAGGGAAAAAATAAAGCGCTTTTTCTGAGATTCTTCAGTGGCCCAACACCGCGAATTCACTGGCAGGGCCAATGAAGTTGCAACATGCACACAAAGGCACGCGCGCGAACAAGGCCCTGGCACGTTCTAGTAGCTTGAGTTAAACCCCTTAACAAGAGCCCAGGTGAAGCAGCTGGAGAGCGTGATGAAGGAGATCGAGGAGCAGCCCAAAGCGCTACGGGCTGCCGTCGCAAGGAAACGTTTCTTCATGGATCGGTGAGCCCGCTCGATGACGTCTGAGCAGGTGACCCTCCTAGGGGTCGAAAGCAACTAGTGTTAGTATCCTCTTACAGTCCCTAACGTACTAACGTCATATAGTATACTGGGCCCCATGAGCCTTGATTGAAAGCAGCACCTTGGACGCATACGGTTCGTGAGAACCTGGGAATTCATACTTGCATGTTGCGGAGACTTCCTCACAAAAAGCCTTACAGTACCCAACATTTTCGGCAACTCCCATTGAAGCCCCTGGTTTTTCCACAGGCTTTGCTGAGGCTCCGCCTCTACTGTTTATAAGGTGCAGAAGCTCGGAACATGAGACTAGGATGCCCAGTAGTACCCTTATTCCCTTTTTGTAGTCCTAGGTTCTTTATAAACTTACCCAATACCAAAAAGAGAGGCCTTTTTGCTCTTAGGTTACTGGGTATCCGAGGAGAAGGTAGGGTTTAGGGTTTCAGGGTTTCAGGGTTTAGGGTTTAGGGTGTTAAGGTTTAGGGCGGTTTAGGGGTTTAGGGTCCGGGGTTAAGGGTTCAGGGTTTAGGCTTCAGGGTTTTAGGGTTTTGGGGGTTTAAGATGGAACGTGCGTCCCCAACTATCGGCCCTCTGCAACACCGCAGATCTACACGAAACCTTACACGAAACCTCCTAAACAAAAGAAATCGTGGGACCGGGTTTGACATCTGTAGCAGCCTCTACAGTACCGATCATAGGAAGCATATTTTTGGGATCAAAGTTTGAGCTGCAGGGTTCGGGATCTAAGGGTTTATTTTGGCATTTCGTTGAGGGTTTCGTTTTTTAGGGGTGTTTCTAGCCCAGTGCAGATCGGGTAACTAAGGGTCATGTGAGGGAATCCGAAGTCTTAGGGGCTTAACAATTGCAACTAGAATGTTGGTTGGGGGGTTCCTTGTTTGTTATAGCAGAGTATGCCCCGAAGCCCTATTCTAATCATCAACAAATAAGGCCCTACATTATTACCATCTTAACATATCTTAACAGCCTTAGCTGGGCCCACTTGTAGGGATCATAGGAGGGAAACCCAAGCCCTGCAATCTTCACAGCCCGTTTCGGCCTCAACGCGCCGAGATTTCTGCACGGAAAGTTACGAAGCATATCTCAACTGGGCCTGTGTGCCACCGCTCTGTGCTCTGCTTCGCTCCGATACTGACGTGAAGGGTCATAGCGACCCCGAACAGACCTATGGACTGTGGAGTCTGGGGCAAACAGGGCCCATGGGGTTCGCGCATGATGCTAAACCCTAAACCCTAAACCCAAAACCCTAAACCCTAAACCCAAATGGAGTTACAAGGTCCAGCCTCCAGGTCGCGCGATTCAGTCAGGGTTTCGGAGCCGGGAGACATGGTAACCCCATAGGGATACTTGGAAATAATTTGTAATCTTTGGTTCCTTTAGGCCATAAGACACAGCTAAAACTATAGTTTTTGCTAGGGGCTTAAGTTCAGTGTGGACCTTTGTTCAATTCGGGATGTAGACATTGCCACTCGTAGCATATGGCACGAACTTCAGATTTCACAAGTGAAGTCGGACAAAAGGAGCGGCAGAGGGCCTGCGCTAATTGGCCAATGCCCTTCACCCCCTCACTTTGAAGCGTCATGAGGTTTCTTTCCTCATGCGTTGATCGTCCTGTTGGCTTCCGCTTCCTTGGATAGCTCAAACGATCCTAGGCCAACGACTCTGCAAGACTCATTATTTGTATTTTTGGCGCTCTCATCCGAAGTTGCCTGCATGTGTTCTTTGATTTTGGTTTCCTGTCTTCCTGCTGCTTCACAGCCATGGCCTGTGGGAGTTAAAGGTCCGAAGAAGTTGTACAGCAGCGCATGTTTCACCTCCCACTCCTCACTGAAGCCTGGCTAAGCCCATGCATGATATGATTGACCCTATAGCCACTGTCGAACGGATGTTCACATCCATATCCATATCTGTATCTATATCTGTAAACGTGCATCTATCTATATCTGTGCCTCTGTATCTGTATCTCCGTATATTGATATGTCTATTTCTGTGTGCATATGTACATCTGTATTCACATCTATGTATCTGTATCCGTATCTCCATCTACATCTCTATCTGCATCCATATCTAGTTCTGTATCTACTCTTTATCATCTGTGTCTCTGTCTACATTTATGCCTGCCTATGAACCTGTATCGTACATCTCTATTTACATCTGTATCTGCATGTGCATTCTCATCTATGTCTGTCTATCTCTGCACCTGTTTCTTTGTCTGTGTGTCCGTCTGTCTATCTGTCCATCAGTCTTTCCGTCTAGCTGGCTGTCTGTCTGTGTTCTGTCTATCTATTTGTGAAGAGTATGTTGACACTTTATCGGCATCATGTGATGTCACGTACATGCAGGGTCTTACGAAGCATAAACAGTCGTTCTTGATGAGCTGGGTATGCCCTCATTCTTGTCTTCTGTCGTTGTTGACTGCTAGAAAGACCCTGAGCATCTGGACCCCAAGAACTCGAATCATAGTAGTCTGTGCCACAAGCCCCAAATCTAATTGTGAAGACCCCTACATGAGGGGGCCGTGGTGACGATCAGCATTTACTTCCTCCTTCTCCGACGAGTCAGCTGCATCATCGATGACAGCCTAGGCCGGTTCGTGAACCTGGCAATCCTGAAGACCGTGTGCCTACGCCATGTAACCCCTCACTATCCAGATGAAATCTCCAACTGCGCCGAAGCCTAAAACCCCTAAACCCTAAACCATAAACGCGGGCTTTCGTACTGGCGGCCGAAGACCACTTCACTACCGCCTACTACACCTGCATGCGGAATGCACCGTAAACACATGCTGAATGCAACCTAAACATGGCAACTTTGAGCCCCGTTTGAATAATTTCCCTCTCTAAAGCCTAGACCTTCGTGTGGGACAGCAGGGTTTAGTTGGAGGTTCATGGGTAGTTATAAGTGGGGTTATTTGGCCCCTAATATGAGTTGTAAGTATAGTTACCCTACTTATAACCCTGCTTATAACTACTCATGAATCTACGAACCCAAGCAAAGCAATTACGTCACTTCCACAGATGCACTCCAGCGCCGTTTGAGGGATTGACAGGGTCCTGCTGTCGAAGCGCTGCGCAGATCGGGGCCTGGAGATGCGGTCATGTGACCGTTTAGGCAACCCTGAACCCCGAAGCTTAAACTCCAGACCCGAAGCCCCGAACCCCAACCCAAAGAACCTAAACCCTATAGATCCCTTATGGATCCCTGTAAAGGAACTCTAGGTAGATCCTTATAGGATTCCCTTTAAAGGAGCCTAAACAAGATATCCTAAGCCCCAAATATCGAGGCCCCTGTCGTGCGGCATTTGGTCATTGCCCCAGCCGGGAGTGAGCTTCCGTCCCTGTCACATCGGGTAGAGATGCCTACTGTTAGTCCTATTATTGGTTCAGTATGACTATTATTTGTTTTAGTATGATCATTATCGTTTGAGGGCCCAGGTGAAGAATATACGCCTGCAGGGATCAGAGGCCGCCAGGGCATCGAGGGCAAGTGAGGAGTTTAAAATTAAGAGCCTCACGGTTTAAGCTCCTTTCTCTGGGCTTTGGAGTACCGTGCTTTAATACTTTTTCGGGGACCGGGTACTTAAAGGGAACCATTTTGAAATAAGAGCGTCTAAACTTTTTCTCCCTGGCTTACTTCAAAGCCCAGGTTTTCTGGCAGGATGAACGTGTGTTTAGATTTTATTTGGAGCCCCAAGGTTGCTCCGGAGAATGATTTTCGTCTACCACTGCGGGCTGCATTTGAAGCACTGGGCTAACATGAAGGAGACTCGAACGTAGCGATATGGGAGTTTCCGAAAACTAGGGGGTACCTTATTTTGGGGTTCCTATAATAAGGATCCTACTATTTAGGGGTACTAAATTAGGGTCCCCTATTTTCGGAAACTCCCAGATTTGTAGCAGCTAGAACCGATGAAGTCTTATTGTCTTGCAGTCTCCCGATCAGTCCCATCGCGCCGCGAAGTGGCACGGTTAATAGTTAAGTTTTCTTAGGATGCCCAGTAGTACCCTCATTCCCTTTTTGTAGTCCTAGGTTCCGTTACCCAATACCAAAGGCCTTTTTGTTCTTAGGTTACTGGGTATCCTAGCGTTTTCCATGTACAAAATCATGCAGGCACGTGACACGTCACGCTGGAGTCGGCAACCGTAGGCCCACACGCGGAACCCCCTCCATACCCTTAGGGCTATATAAACCCTAAACCCCTGAACACCTGAAGCCCTAAACCCTAAACCCTAAACCCCTGAAGCCCAGCTCGAGATGGATCGAAAACATGTAGAGCTCGAAGTTAGATGAGCTGACATGAAAGTACCTTGTTGTGTCTATGGTGTTGTCCAACCTAACCTCCAAATCCTCAGGCCCTTAAAGCCCCATACAAACCCCTTTAGTAACTTTAGTTACGCATCCACAACCCCGCGA